AAGTCAAAATGTCCATGAAAGGTAAATGTTTTAAACTGATTCAGGACCTCAAGGCAACCACGACAGTGTATCTAAAGACAGTCATGAAAGGGGACATCCAGAACTGCTTCAGAAAGTGTTTGAAGTGAGGAGGAATTTTTTTGGGTGGGGGTGAGTAATGGCAATGTGTCTTTTACTGTAATACATTTTTTAAAACTTAAATAATCATTATATTTTTTATCTCATTGTGTATCGAAAGAGGGAGGGGCTAGAACCCCCTAGTGTAGTAGGCAGAAGAGGAATGAACCAGCTATTTCTTCCTATCATGGCCACTGCTGTGAACACTCAGCTCATGGCCCTTTCATCTTTGACAACATATTGCTTGTGTAGTGTTACATAACACAAGGATGCAGTCATCCATTCAACAAATATTTGTTGACTATTATGTGCCAGACACTGTGCAAGGTGCTAGGACCACAATGATGAACAAGACCAACAAATCCTTTTTCTCTTGGACATTACAGTCTCAATTTCAATATTTACAGAGAGCACTGGGTGGCCAATACGATCTATTCTTTCTCGCTTGTCCACGCAGCAAAGGTGACATGGATGGGGTGAATAATTTACTATAAATATCAGTTGCAGCATAAGTCAAGCAGAGACCACCCTGGTGTTTAAAACAGGGAATTAACGCACAGTCAGGAGCAGCAAAGTAACTCAGGGGTTACTCTGGAATCAACCAACACACGCAGGAGAGGAGAGGCCATTGGGTTACTGGAGCCTTGGGGCTTGGCAGGAACCAGAGCTACAAGGAAGATGCAGCTGCTGATACAGAGATCATCAAAAGCAGAAAGAGAAAAAGGAGCACCTGGCTTCTCCCTTCCATTCACCGTCTAATCACCTGCCAGCTCAGAGCACAGGGGGAAAGGCAGAGTGAATCCAAAGGTGAACAGGCCCAGTGGGCGCAGGTGGAGTGTGAGACGCCTCCCATTGACCCCCAGTCCACAGGGAAGTGAATGCAAAATCCACCACATATAAGGAGGCACACACCACCCACACAACACAGACACATGCTGCTCCAAACACAGGTCATCCTGTACGGTCAGACCCTGGCCAGCTGCACTGCCACACACAATCACAGCAGTCACATAAAGTAAGCAATATCCACACACTGGTCAGACACAAAGCCCTAGGGGTCAAGGCCAAAAGAGCTTTCTGAAGGGGGAAATACTGGTTACCAGCCCAGCCTCCAGCCTGTTCTCCCAGAACCCTCGTGGCATACTCATCGCGGCCGGCACTCCAGCCTACCTGAGGTTCCATCTATGCAGGAGCTAGTGCTGAGTACGGATGGGAGAGGCAGCTCCCTCAGGCTCCCAACCCACTTCCCTGACACCCAAGCCCTGCCTGGCCTGCCACACCTTACTCCACTGCCCTAAGCAGATCCCCACCTGGGCACTGAAGGTGCTGCTGCAAGCACTCATGCCCATGTTGCTGCCATTGATAGTGGGAACAGCCATTGTGCTGGCACTTAGGCGAGATCCACCAGAGTTCCCAGTATAGTCCCCACTGTCCGCAGGCCTCATGATGGAGCTTGGGGTTCCTGGGTGGGCGTGGGGTACCTGAAACATGAATCCGAGAGGGGCACTCTAGCTAAGCCAGGAGCTCCTGCCGGATCCAGCTGTGAGTCAAGCTGGGAGCACACAGGGAAGCCAGGGAGGACATGAAAAAGAGAGGGCGATGGGGGAGACTCACCTCGACTGCAACTGAGATGGAGCAGAAGGCCTACTTCTTGGGTCTGGCAAGAAGTACAAGGTGGCACATGAAAACAGGCTGGACACAGATTGAGGGTTTCCTAAGTGGTGAGTCATGAGGCTCCCAGGCTAAGCACTCAAAACAAGGGTTTGGGAGAAGCCCCCCTCCCATGCCCCTCCCGGAGCACACCTGACAGTACTCACCAAGCTTCCAGTGGGGGTCACAGAAATACACCCATTACCTTTAGCTGGCTTTTACTCTCTAGCTTCCTCTGAATATGTCTTGCCTGCTGTAAAAAGAGGAAGAAAGGACAAGTGAGACTAGTAGTTTCTTGGGTCCTATGGGTTTCCTCTTCCAGAGCCACACCCTATAGTCCAGGTCTAAAATAAACACTCACTGGAAAAATGGATCAATTAAAAAATAAATGAAGATGGGTGTGGTGGCACATGCCTACAATCTCAGTCCTCTGAGAGGCTGAGGTAGAAGGACCTCAAGTTCAAGCCCACTTGGACAACTAAGTGACTTAGCAACTCCCTATCTCAAATTTAAAAAAAAGGGCTGAGGATGTAGTTTAGTGTGAAGGTTCTAGGTTCAATCCTCAGTACTGCAAAAATGAATGAATAAACAAGCAAACAAACAAACCTTGAGCAGACAGGTCCCTGGATGGACTGCAGTTGAAAATTATACACAGACATATGCGTGTGTTGCATGCAAAGTATATGCAAGATACCATGTATATATACAAGTGCTGTTTTCCAGAAACAGCATCCAAAGCTTTCGCTAAATGTTCAAAAGGGTGCTTGACTTTGCTATAAGGGACACAAAAGCTAGGCACGGAGACACACATCTGTAATCCCAGCAGCAGGAAGACTTGACGCAAGAAGATCACTTCATGTTTAAGGCCAGCCTGAACTACATAGCGACCCTTTCTAAAAGTACTTACATATAAAGCACACAAAGTATCTACCACTGACTGTGATTCCATCAAAAGCACAATGGCCTCTGTTCCTTTAGCACACCTACCCAAGTGTAAATTTATAGCTTATATAAGAGGATAGCAGTTTCCATACTCCGACAGTCTGGCCAGTTCTGCTCAGGGACACATAGAAATGATTTTCAGACCTCTGGCATGACTACCTCAAAATAGTTCTGATTTCTCTTTACACTCAAAACTTGCTATGGAGCCACTGTCCATGAAATCACCAAACATGAGTCTGCCCTCCACAAATATAATGCAAGTCACATATGAAATCTAACATTTTCTCCTAGTCCCACTTAAAAAGTAAAAAGAAATGTGAAAATAAGTGTATATTTTATTTAACCAATTATACAAAGTATTATCTTTTAATATGCAATGGTATAAGATTATTGGGATATATTACATTCTCTCTTGTACTAAATCTTCGAAATCTAGTGTGCATTTTATACCTATAAAACATCTCAATTGAAACCGTCTGTATTTCAAATGCCCAGTAGCTACATTGCGCCAGTGGCTACCACACTGGACAATCTTTTTTGAACTTACGTATATTTTTTAGACTAGTCAGTACTACTCAGACTACTCAGTACTACTCAGACTACTCAGTATCATTTCTTCTTCAAATAAAAATCTCAAAAATAGTATCAAATTCTACAACATCTGCAGACCACACAGCATTGTAAAGTCTTCACAAGTGCTTTAATCCCTATGATAGTTTATGATTATATGTGACTTGCCATTTTTTAATCCTAAAATTCTCCCTTTTCAAATTTGTGATTCTGCTCCTTCTTATAATGTATTCAGATTTAATAAACAATTTTATGATCACCTTTAGGAATTTATACACTTCCTGAAAACACTCCCATTTTCTCTCTCCCCATCTAGAACAAAAAATTCTGTGGACTCAGTTGTTCCTATCGGGTCCTCAAACCCTCTGGAGGGGTTTATCTTAGAGTCCCTCACTCATTTTATTCACAAATCATTTACTGAGTGTCACTGTGTGTCACACAGGACCCGACAGGCAAAGTTCTTACCTTCAGTTGTAAAGTGGATGTTTAGATGGAATCCAAGAAACACAAGCTGGAGAGGAAGAGAAGAGCCCTATTAGCTTTCTCCTGGGCAGGGATATAACTCAGTGGCACAAGTGCTTTCCTGGCAAGTGCAAGGTCCTGAGTTTGATTCCCGGTATCAAAATTAAAAAAAGAAAGAAACAAAGAAAGAAAAAGTTTTCTTTCACCAATGGCTTTGAGGTCTTGTCCCTACTCACTGATGTTTTTGACTTCAGGGGATTCTACAGAAAGCCCCTACCTTAGGGCTCTGAAAAAGTCTCCACTCAACACATGAAATTTTCTCACAGAGTGCACAGAAGAGATGTGAGATGATGGAGTAGTAGGCTCCAAGTTTAATCCCATACTGCTCAGTTTTGATTCTCTGACTTTCCTTGCCTTAGCGGTTCGGCCCAGGCTTAGGGAGGGACAATACTAGCCCTATGGCAAAGAAAGGAGAGTTTTGAGTTTTTCTCCTGACTCTTGACAGGCAAGTTTCTTCATCTCCCTGAGCCTCAGCCTCCTCTCCTATTAAATGACGGTTGTCCTACTATTTTACTTGCTTGAAATTTGAATGAAAAAGGGGATTTGAAGAAGCATTAAACAAACCTATGTTACTATAATTAATAATCATAACTTTCACACTTCCAAAAGACTTCCATTTCTGCAAGCATGATAAAAAGACCGGGTAAGTGTGTGTGTGTGTGTGGGGGGGGAGTTAATCCAATTTTCTAATCTCAAAGATTTGGAAAAATATATCATTAGATTCTTTTATTTATATAATTTCCGACCTTAAAAATTCCCAAGATAATTAGTGAAAAAGTGGCGGGTCGTCCTGTAGAGTTGAGAAAGAAACAGGTAAAATGAAACAAAATATACTTAGAGTTGCTCCTCCTTTGTTTTCAGGATCTCCGGTCTGATTGACCATATCAAAGTCGCAGTCCCACAGGGGTCTGTGAGAAGATGGAAGGGATCCCTGGCCACGACTACCCAGAGGAGGCGATCTTCCAGGACGAATACCTTCCTTGGCCGCTTGCTGCGAGTCTGACCAACGTGCAGAACTCACAGCGCCGCCATGTTGTTATCTCCATAGATACAGGACGCGCAGGATGTGGCGTCTTCTGGTATCCCAAGGCAACGACGGCAACTCCAGGGAGTCAAACCCCAGAAGCGCGAATGCACAGCCTAAGACGCTTTTTTTTTTAACGTTCTTTTTTTTTTTTTTTCCCTTGAGTTCTATTTGCGGTGTTGGAGATTAACTTAGGTCGTTCATTTTAGGCAAACGCCCCACCTCGAAGCTACACTCTTGGCTCTACCATTCAATTTAATCCCCGTAAGCGCTCAGTTTTGTTTCTCTGACCTTCCCTCCCATGTTAGTCGTCGAGCTTTTTACTAGTCTTGACATGGCATTATTTATGTATGTTCCCTTAATTACCAGAACGTCCCAGCAATCATAAATTTAACAGACGACCAAATTCATAGGAGGCATTTTGTTGAATTTGACACCTGAGTGGGAGTCATTCCTGTCCTCTCCCACACCCGGTGTTGTCATAGGATCAGAGCCTCATTCCTGTGATTGCAATTGTTAACTTGAAAGCAGCCTTTAGTTATTTCTTACTTGCATATTGCTTTGCGGATGGATTCCTTGCTGGTGTCCTTGGTGCCATCTCTCAGCATTCTTCTGGCCCAGCACCAAGACAAACTAACTGTTTTGAAGGGATCCTAAGGTCAGTGTAGAAAGAAATTCTTACACACAAAGAAGAGTTTTCGAAGCCCATTTGTTCATGTGCCTGTGTGTGCTCTGGGGCAAGAAAGATTTCATTTGGTGAAGACTGTTAGGTAGGTGTCTTATTTACTTATCTTGTTGCTGAGGCAAAATACACAAAACTCAAAGCTAAAGGGGAAAGGTTTATTTAGCTCACAGTTTGTAGAGATTTCAGTCCATAATCTGCTGGCTCAAAAACAAGGTGGCACAGCAGACAGGCATCACAGAGGAGAAACAATTCGTGTTGGGCAGAAAGTAGCAAAGCAATAAGGGATCTTACCAGCTTCTTTCTGTCCTTTTTATACTCTGTCTAGGCTGCTAGGCGTAGGGTGGTGTCAAATCAATCAGTGGACTGATTTAGTAATCACACACCCTTAATCACAGCATGACACACCCTAGATCCAGCCACCTCTGAAGAAGCCCCACCTATAACTGCATGAGGCTTTTTTTGGCAGGGGACTTCTAGACACAAGCCATAACAGTAGGTGAATCTGAAAATCTCAAAGTTCATTACAAATGTTTCACTGCTTCCAACAATGATCCAGTCTCCTCTCAGAGTGAAGAGGGAGTATGTGGTTATGGGGATACAGCTTAGGGAGTCAAGGTAACCCCAGAAAATAAATTCTCACTTGGGAAATTTGTGGAAGGGGAAGATAGACTGAGATGACCAAGTGACCTGAGTTGGCCCTGGGAGAGCACACGGTCAGAAGCAGGCAAGACTAGAGGGAATAGGGCAGGCTAGGGGTCCTGTTGAGTTACACCCGCATGGTCAGGTCTGGAATTTTCCTGAGATTAAGGAATGTGGAATTCAATGAGTGTTTCACTGCTTTTAATGGGATTCTCAGAATCTGAAACCTGTACTTTGGACATGATGGCTTTATGCTGTTTATAGTTTCTATAATGATTTCCTTCTTGTATTTCCTCATGTTCTTTGTGAAGTGGACGGCCTGACTCAGGTGGATCTTAGGGGTAGAAAGGGACCTTTCCATTTGCAGACCAGAAAGAAATAGGGAGCACTGAGCCTGAAAGCAGGGTTTGGTGAGGACCTCAAGAGTCCCAGTAAGAAGACCCTGACAGGGAAGGAAACCTCATCCTAGGAGAACTGCACCCTTACACTTTACAGTGGCAGAGTCTCCCTCCAGAGTTCTCCCCTGTCACGTCTTGATGGATTCTGGACTTGGGGTGATGAAAAGAGGTGGTTCCTCCTGTTGGCCTTTGTGGTCTCTCTCTGCTTCCACATGTTTCTAACTGCTTCCTAGTAGCTCTGCAGGTAGTGACCTCAATTTATCTGGGGACTACCAGTGTAGCCCCTGCCTTCTACACTTTGACCAAGGAGCCAAACACATGGGTTAGCGTCAGGGTCAGGGTCAGGGTCAGGGTCAGGGTCAGAGGTAGGCATAGCTGGGGGCTGAGCCTGAGAAAGAGGAAGCAGAAATTGGACTTGCATTGTAAGTCCCTTTTTTAGGTGCCTAAAATCTGTGGGAGATAACAGGTCCTGGGTCCTCATAATCATGTCTTCCTTGAACTCAAAAAAGACCAGGTTATGTTTAAGTCTGTGAACAAAGATGAATGCTGATTCACGAAATTGATGAGGAACAAGATGTGGGAGAAGGGAAGAAGGATGGGTGGAGGACATCCTCAGAACCTCCTGGTCTAGAAGCTGGGGTTGGGGGAGAAGAAAGACAAAGCATACCCAGTGATGTGGGCTTCAGCACACGTAAAACATCTTTGCTGAGCTTTATTTTCAAATACTTTCTCATGCCCCATGACTTCTGTGTAATAGAGAAGACCCTGGCCAGGGAAATCATGGGGACCTGGGACTAACCCTGATTATTGCTGGCTGTATGACCTTGGAAAAATCACATAATTTTTCTGAGCCTCAGTTTTTCCATATATTTCTTAGGGGTAGTTTTCAAAAGTCAATATGAAGATTAAGTAAAACTGAGTCAGTAAGGACACACACACATACACACACACACCGCACCCCCCGAAGAAGGTCATTTTTTAAATCTTTAAATGTGAGGTTGCCATAAATAAGCCACTCAGGTCTCTGAGCATCTTCCCTTTCTGCCAGCTCTTGGCTTCTCCAAGCATACTTGGAGAGAGGAAAGGTTTTCTTCCTGTCCACACCTCCTTTGTTTCCCCAAGGAGGAGGCTACCTTGCTGCTCTGAGGTGGAGTAAGATAAAAGGAGATGCTGCAGTGGAGCTCTGCTGTCCAGTTGACAAGGTCACCCAGCTCCAGAACATGTAGCATCTTCTCCCACTTCCTTTCACCCTGAGATCCTGGTTGCATTTTGATTGTTGATTGTGGAACCAGATCTATATCCAAGAGGTACTAGGGGAAAGAAGTGAGGAGGTGAGCGCTCCCACTGAAGCTCTTGGCCTCAGAAATGGAGGGGGTTAGTCTTCCCAATCCAGCTTGGAGTGGAGAATGAGAGAAGGTTGCAGCTAAGAAGGCCATTGGCGTAGCTCAGGCCTGGAACTTGGAGCATACATTGGAGGGCCAGGGGCCCTCTGTAGCTGCTGGAGTACAAAGGTGTCAAGAGATTGGTGGTACTTTCAGCCTGAAAGGAATGCCAGGACACAAAACTGGCAGGGGTTTGAGGGTAGATTGGTCTATAGCAATAAAATTCAAAGAAAATGATTTTTTTTGACACAAGGTCTCACTATGCAGTCCAGGCTGGCCTTAAACTGGCGTATGTAGCCCAGGTTGGCCTCAAACTCATGACAATCCTCCTACCCCAGCCTCCTGAGTGCTGGGATTACAGGCATGCACTGGCTTCAGAGAAAATGATTCTAACCTGTCTGGAAACACCATAGAGTCTTCTCTTTAGTGCATCCCTGGGCTCCCTAGATAACTTTATCTCTCTATTCATTGTCCCTGCCACAGGGTAGGAAAACACACAGATTAATAGCAGGGGAATGGAGGGAAAAGGAGATGAAGGTTGATCTCAGCAGACTCAAGTTCAAATCCTGGTTCCAGCTTTTCAAAGGTATGCCAGGCAGATTGTCAGCCTCCCCAAATCTCACTTTCCTTATCTGTAACATGGAAACTAAAGGGGATAGTATTCAAACTACTTACTAGCTGAGACAGTACTGACCTATGAAAATGGACACCAGCTAGTCTTAGAGCCAGAACACTGAGCTGGAAGTCTTCACTGTGTGAGGCCTTAACTCTGTAGTTCTTGGATCATGAGAAATTCTGGGGTACAGAGACAGGCCTGGGAAAGCAACAATGGCAGTGGAGGAGCTCAATAACTGTTTGCCAATTGATCCCAACTTGTATCTTTTCCCAGCTATTAACAGCCAATATAGCTATTGTACACTAGTTACAAATCAGGTGTGTGGACAAATCCCTACATCATTAGGTACTGGCACAGTTATTCATTTCAATATGAAATCTCTCAAACTTGAAGTCTGTGACTCTTGATTGCTCTTCATCAGTGGAAGATCTGTCACCACATCTAACTGCTCATTTCCTTCCTGTCTGAGCAGGGCTCTGTCTCTGTGGTAGCTTTTCCTGCTGTACTCACCTCTACCGTCTACCACCTTCCTCCTCTGCGCCTGTGTGGAAAGGCGCCAGCACCATGGACAGCTCCGGCCCCATTCTGTCCCCTTCCTCCTCCTTTCTGGTTTCTATTTCTCTTCCCTCAATCAAACCTGCAGTGTAAACTGAATGAGGGCATCCCTGGGAAGGCAGCACAGTGGAGTAGTTGAGAAAGAACCCTGGAGTCATCAAACTGGATTTCAGTTCCAATTCCACCCCCTATCAGTTGTATGACCCTGCTCTTTCACTACTGTAAGACTCAGGAAAAATAGCTCCCTCAAAGGTTGTGAGTTTAAGTAGATAAAAATTTAAGGAACTTAGCATAGTGCCTAGCTCATTATAAGTTCTGAGTAAATGAAAAACACGATTATCCTGTGATGTTCGGTCCTATTTAATTCCTCCAACACTTTTTCAATCCATTTCTGACCAGGTGCTGAGTAAAGGTATCATAACGACCACTGCTTGGACTCAGGTATGGTCAGGGAGCCCACATTTGACTGGCCCATGAGATTCTTTCATCTCTAGAGTTTTTATTTTTTTAGACAGGGTCTCATTGTGTAGTCCAGGCTGGCCTCAAACTCACAACAATCCTCCTGCCTCTGCCTCCCAAGTGCTGGGATTATACAGGCATGTGCCACCATGCCTGGCTTCACTAGTTTTTTTTTTAACATTAAAAAATTTTTGAGAGCCAGGAATGGTGGATCCCCAGCACTTGGAGGGCTAAGGTATGGGAATTGCCACAAATTCCAAGCCAGCATGAACTACAATCTAAGTTTAAGGCCAACCTCAAAAAACAACAAAAAAATTCTTTTCAAGTTACTCTTAGATGTACAAAAGAGTCACAAAAACAGAGTTCTCATAAATACTTCTCCCAGCTTCCCCTTGGATTAGCATCTTACAATGATCATAGAATGTTTGCTTACCAAAGTTAAGAAATTAACCTTAACGCACTAAACTGACAGAAGTATAGGATTTAAACTTTCACAAGTTTGTGTCTCCTTTAGTGTCTCATCCAGGATCTCACCTGGCATTTAGCTGTTGTACCTCTTTGGTCTCCTCCACTCTGGAGCATTTCTTAAGTCTTTCTTTGTCATTCATGACCTTGATTCTCTTGAAAGATACTGTCCGCTGTTTTGTAAAACGTTTTCTCATGCATTTGCCTCATGGTTTCTTGTGATTAAAGTAAAGTTTGTAACACAGAGGTGATATGGTGTTTTCTGAATGTCACAGCAGAGGGCACATGGTGTTAGCATGCATTACTGTAACCTTGATCAATTAGGTAAAGTGGTATCTGCCAGGATTCTCCATTATAAAGTCGCTGTTTCCTTTATTTGTTAGATTTTGATCATGCCCATCTTTTGCTTCTTTAGGAGTAAGAGGCAGAAACCAAGAAACTTGTCCCCTAACCTCCCCCTTCCTTGTACTCCCAACCACACCCCCAAGCCACGCTTATTCTCTATCACTGACCTACTGGTGGTTGCTCTGAGATCTCCTAAATCCAGCATTCAGAAATTTGTGGAGAAGCTAGATGCAGAAACATCTGGATTCATTAGGGCAAAAAGAGCTTTCTGGTTCATCGCATAGAACTTCTCACCAAGGCCCTGCATTTTCTCCCTGCAGGAGCACTCTGGAAAAATGTGTCCAGCAACTGCTCTCAGGAATGGCCAACCCCTTTCCCAGGTCTGGCCTAACCTTTAAGCACTTTCTTCACCATTTCCATATGGGTTTCTTAAATCTCTAATAACGTTTCTTCCTGCCTCTTAGGTATAACTCGCTCCTACGAACATCTATAAGCTTCCTCCTTCCCAGAACCACCTCGAGGCTCTTCACTTCTGCTCAAGAGTTTGCTGTCATCAGACATCCTACCAGAAGAGCACACACATTTTCTCTCATGTATTGAATGTGGACAGATGCATTTGTGAAACCCTCTCTTTGCTTTCATCTCCATCTGCCCTGAATGTACTGTATTCTACTTCAGTGTCTTCTCATACTGCCCCTTCAGATGATGACAGCACATCACATCTTCTCCAGCTTCACAGCTGCTCTGTTTCTAAAAAGCCTTTGTAGCCTTTTGGGAAGCCTCAGGAGATGATTTTTCTTTTTGCTCTCTGTCTGGTTATTTGTGCTGTGTGAGAAATTACTCCAAAGAGCCAACTTTCCATACAACCATTTCATTTTTCTTAGGGTCTTGTGAGTCAGGAGGTCAGGCCTTGGTCAGCCAGTTCTAGCTTCAGGGTGCCTCACATAGCTGCAACCTGATGCTGGCCATCTGAAGGCTTGACTGGGCTGAGTGTGCAAAGGGTGCACTTCTGTGGCTGACTGTGGGTGCTACCTGTTGGCTGGAAGCTCCACTAGGCCATGGACCAGAATACCTATCTATAAGCTGGATGCAGTCTCAGGGTAGAACCAGACAAAAGCTGGCTACAGGCCCTGACCAGATTCAAGGCAGACACTGCCAAAGAATCTGTGGATATATTTTAACTGTCTCACACTCTATCCGGGGTTTCCTGGGACATTATTCCTCCAGGGCCACCTTCTCTAACAGGGTCTGGCCATTCCCAGTGCTGTGAGGTCCTTAGACTGAGCGCCTTCCTCCAATTCCCCTAGGATGAGAACTCATCAGTTCCTACCTCCCTAGGTTTGCTGCTGCAGGAAACCTAGACTCTGGTCTGGTTTCTACTAATGTAAGATTTTAGGAAAATGACTTCACATTTCTGGATCTCAATTTCTCCATGTGCAAAGTAAAATTAGGAACAACCTCACCTGCCAGACTTCTTAAGACTAAAAAGGATGATGTAAATAGCACACATCCAGGGCACTTGGCCCACACTAGATGTTCCACAAGTCGGAAAGAGTGAGCATGGGCAAGTTGTTTTCCTCCGGAGTTTGATTTACTCATCCCTGAAATGGGATAATAATTCTTCTATCTTGCTTCCCTGGGGGATGAGAGAGGTCATAAATGAGCAGCAGAGAGGATCAAACCCATCCCCACCTGCTCAGGAAGGGCCCCTGGCCTGTGCCTAGCTGAGGCAGTGCATGCGTGCGAAGCCAGCAGGAGCGGCTGAGGGCAGGGCTGCGTGCAGGGTGGGGCTGCTATCTACCCTGCTTGGCCTTATCAGATCTGGGCTGGCTAAACTCAGCCTGGGGAACAAAGAGGCTTTGAGAACCAGGTGTGGGTGTGGCATGTGGGGCTGAGCCCCAGGAGGTGCAGCCACCCAGGGGTCAGAGGGCACGGGGTGAGGGGGTGAGAGAGTTGCGGCAACTAGGAAAGTTTCCACAGCCAGGGGCACCCTCCAAGGTTGGAGCAGGGACTGTGTTCCCTCTTCCAAGGAGGACCCCAGCCCCACCTCTGCGGCAGGGCACAGCTGTCCTCCTCCCCAGCACCTGGGTGATTTAGTTTCCCCTTCTGACACATCTAGCCCCAACTATGTTGGATCCAGCTGTCAAACATGCTCTGAACATTCCATCTGCACATGTGCTCCTAGTAATCCACTCGTTTCTGTTCCCCAAGTTACTCACACCCCTGAAGATACAGCCCAAAGTTTTTCAATGAAGGGCACCTATTTCCAGTTACCTCACAAGGACCCCAAGTGCTAGCAGCAGGTCTGTGGCGTAAAAGACTATTGATTTGGGTTCAGCTGAACACTGGGCTACTCTCTGTCAGAAGCCCTCCTGCAGGTGGCGCCCTAAGGCACCTGTCAGAAAAGGGTGTAGTGACTGGGACTTTCTGAGCCAGAGAGAGGAGACTGCAAGGACAACTTGGGGGAACATAGCCTGCAGGGTCCCCTGCCAGCTGGGAAGTTCTTCCACTTAGCCTCCTGCACACCAACTCTCCAGGCTTCACTACCTCCAAGTCTCACCCAGGACCTGTGGACTTTGGCCCCGGCCGTCACATTGCAGGATGGGGCTATCAAGGGGCTACTCTGCATTTCTTTCCCATGTACTTCCGAGATGTTGGGAGGGTGTGATGGTTTGAATACGGCCCCCAAAGCTACGTGCTGGAAACTTGCTCTTGAGTGGAGCAGTGTTTAGAGGGGCATCTATAAGAGGTGATTGGGTCATGAAGGCTCTGCCCTTGGGAGTGGATTCACGCCAAAATGGTGGGAGTGGCTTGGTTATCACAGAGTGGGGGTCCTGATGGAGGGATGAGTTTCCACTTTCCTTTTGCTCTCTCAAACTCTCTTGCCATTCTCCCTCTGTGGGATGACACAGCACAAAGTCCCTCTCTAGATGCCCATACCTCAGTATTGGATACCCCAGTCTCCAGAACTGTGAGAAATACAATAAATGTCTTTTCTTTATAAACCATGCAGTCCACAATATTCTGTTTTAGCAGTACTAAATGGGTGAAGAAGGGGTTGGAGGAAGGCAGGCAGAGAAAGCAGGAGCCTGGAAGATCCCTTGAACACAGGCAGAACAGCCTTTGGCAACAAGGAGACTGGTTACCTAAGCACCATTTTTTTTTTTTTGTACCAGGAATTGAACTTAAGACCTCATGCTTGCCAGGCAGGCGCTGTGCTGCTGAGCTATATCCCTGGCTGAGGCTGGTTATCTATACAGAAAAGCCCTGGACAGCACGCTTGCAGGTGCAAGCACTAAGGCTAAAGAAGAACTGAGGTCAAGGCTGCTGAGGGTAAGAGATCTGGGTCTCGCTGCTTAGAAACCCCAAAGTTGACTTGGACCTTTTCTTACCCCTACTGCTCAGCCAACTTTCAAATCCTGGCTGTCCTGTTGCCTAAATATCTTAAAATCTGCCACCTTGTTTCTGGGCCCATGGCCACCTCCTCAGTCCAGGTCACCTTCTTCTCTCCCAGTTAGTGGGGTCCTACTTCCATATCTCCTTCTCTGGTCTGGCCTCCATACTGTAGCCAGCGAAGCTTTCAGAAACTATCAGGTCGGGCTGGGGATTTAGCTCAGCGGCAAAAGCGCCTGCCTGGCAAGCACAAGGTCGTGGGTTCGTTCCCGGTACCGGAGAAAAACAAAAACAAAGAAAAAACAAACAAACAAAAAAAACCAGAAACTATCAGGTCATGAGCCTCCCTCTCTTCAAACCCTCCGAGGGCTCCCAGGCCAGTGGTGGCAAAACTATGGCTGGCACATGTGGGAGCCAAGCCACCTGAGCAGTGGAGCACCAGATAACACTTGTTTTTTTCTAAACAAAAACCTCAGTATGCAGGTGTAATAGCAGTGTTGGCACTTTGTGATAAATAAGTGGGCTTTGGATTGCAGTTTGGGCACTAGATGTCTAAAAGGTTCGCCATCACTGTCCTAGGCACTCAGCATTGAGGCCACATTTGTGGAATACAAGCTGTGTCAACCTAGTCCTGCCACCTTTCCATCGCAGTTTTCACCAAGCCACATGCCTGCTCATGGCTTTGCAGTGCTCATTCACTCAGGCCTCCAAACCTTAGCCTGGGTCCGTTTATTTATTTATGTATGTGTTTTCAGTACTGGACTCAATGTAGGGCCTCACATATGCTAAGCAAGCACTCTCACTGAGCCACATCCCCAGCCCACCTCCCTTTCTTTTGGTAGATTGAACCCAGGACCCTCCCACTGAGCTACATCCCCAACACCCAACCCCTCCTTTTAAAAAATCTTTTATTATGAGACAGGGTGTCCCTGAGTTGCTAAGTTTCTCAGGCTGGGCTTGAATTTGCAATCTTCTTGCCTCCGCTTCCCAGAATGCTGGGATTACAGGTGTGTACCACTATGCCCCCTCCTTTTCCTACCTACCAGGCAAACTTTTTTTGCCCCAGCTGTGGCATCCTCACCTTCAAGAAGGCTTTCTAGCTTCTAGCCACTTCCTAGCACTCCTTACCACCCCCATGAGGGTGTCACTCACAGCACTTAGCAATGATGTGGATGGACATCCTGTCTCCCACCCTTCTCCTGCCCTACCTGAGTTCATGGAGGGCAGCCATGCATGCCTCTTCCTCCATGCAGACACATGGGCCCAACAGAGGGGCATCCCATGAACAGTGGTGGCTGCAGCAGCTCTGGGGCTGAGCTAGCCCTTTGGGTCGGCAGCTGCCTGCACCTGGGGCTGTAGGGAAACTCCTTGGTGTCACATCATTCAGTGGGTGGGGGGGAATGGGGTCATCACATTGCAGCTGTGAAGGATGGTTTTCTGGCTGTCTCTCCACATGTCCCTGTCCCTGTCTCCTCAGATGGGGGGCAGGATCCCAGGGAAATCTGTAGGGCTCCACTCCACCAGGGTCTTTTCCTTTTTCTTTTTGCTCCCTCCCATCTCAGTGTCAGGGATCAAACCTAGGGCTTCACACATGCTAGGCAAGTGCTCTACCACTGAGCTACAGCCCCAGCCTCCTTTATTTTTTCATAAGGTTGATCTTTTGAGGGTCTAAATTCAGTTTTTAATAAAAGTTTTTGTTTTGTTTTATTTTTTGCTGAATCTTTGCAGCCTTGACTATCTGAATGTGTTCCCTGAGGAGATGAAAGATCTGGGGACACCAAATGGCCTTGTGTATGTTGCATTCCATAGGGATCAGTCTCTGTCTCTGTCTCTGTCTCTGTCTCTCACTCAATCTCTCTCTCTCAATCTCTATCTCTCTCTACTTCTTTCATGACCTGGAGAGTCATCCACTCCATGCAGCCATGCTTGCCAACTGTCAATGACAATCTGATCTCCCAGGCTGAATGTCTACAGGGAGAGAATGTGCAAACGACAGACAAGAACATCTTGACCTTCACCTCATTTCTCCCAACAAAAGAGTTCACGGACGTTTTGGCCTGGTCAGTGAGATTCTGCTGTAGAGAGATGGAGCCCCTCTAGATGTGCTGACAAAGCAGATTTCCAAGAGTGGAATGCTGAGTGTGACTTTCCAGAGAGGACCTCACTGAGAATCAACTTTGTGGTAAACTACAGATCCAACTGGAAGGATTCCAGTCCTGCCTCAGTGTCACTTGCTGTATAATCTTGGGTATGTTCCTATGTGGGAAATGGTAACATTTAAGTGCATGCTCCATGAGGTTGTCATAAGAGTTACAAGGGCTACTAAGCATGAAGATTTAGAATGATGCCTAGCAATAACTAGTTTTCATTAAGTAGTAGCAGTTAGCATTGGAGTGGTGAGGACCTATTTCCCCAGATGGCACAAACCCTAGGCAATGTGGTTTTCTCTGGAGGTGTGGAATTAAAGGACAGGTAAAGTCTGAAGATTCATCCCCATCACTTCCATCACAACACTGTAAAGGGATCGAGCCTGAGCAATGGCATGTTTTAACAACTGGCTTCCCATGGCAGGCAGGGTAGGGGTAACTCGCTTGGTAGCCGTGGCCAACTTCCACAGTAGTCCATGGTCACCCTGGCTTATTTTAACTGGCTTCATCTAGGATCTTAGATGATCCATACTGGTACAGGAAAATACGCCTGGGATTGATGGACTTAGAGAAAGTGAAGGGTGATATCCTGTGTTGGCAGTAAATTGGGTCTTCTCTAGACTAAGCAATGTTTCTTAAAGTATAGTTCACACACAACCTGCCATGCTTGGGTGTTTCTAAAATAAGTTTCTGGGTCTCACACTGGATCTATTAAAGCAATATCCTAGAAATGAAGTCAGGAATCACCTTTAAGCAAGCTGCCCAGGTAATTCTGAGGTTTTACAACTCCCCACCCTGTTAGGGATCCCTGGCTTATCCAAGAAGTCAGAATGTGCCACAAGATAAATGTGAATTCTCCAGAATCTTTCCATACCACATTGCATTACCAACAGGGAAGAGTCAAAAAGGCAGGCCCCAAGAACTGGAGTAAGCAGGAAAACCATCTTGACTAAGGCACACTGACATGGTTCTTGGTATGTGAAGGAAACATGGATTAGCTACCTCAGGTCTCACTCTGGTCCAACCATGTTTACGGTGAAGTTTGGGATCTGTGTGCAAAGCCCCTCCCAGTGTAGAGCACAGCTTTCTGCTAGGATTTTGCAGAACTGCTGAGTGAGAATGGGCCTGAAGACAGTGGGAACACTGGAGGTTTATCCTTGGAGGAAGGCACTGAGGAGGAAAGCAAGCCTCTGCGCCTTCCTCCAAACTATTTGTGTATCAGCCCATGTAGTATCCTGGACTCCGTGGCTCTAACAACTTAAATAATTTTTATTACAAAAGGAAGAAAAAACCAAAACATCCCCAAAATTCTCCCATGGGCTTCCCCCTCTGTGACAATAAATAAGGTGGGGGAGACTGACCGGAGGAGGGGGTGGGGGTCATGGTTCAGCAGAAAATGGAGCTTATCCTGGGCAGGAGTGGCAAGGATATCCAGCCTCTCCTCCCCTGGCCCAGGTGCTATGGTCACATTGGCCAGAACACACAACTCTGCCTGCTGATAGCAACAGTCTTGGGATGTGTCTGCAGGAGTGTGGCCAGGGGGAAGAACATGCCTAGGGATGGCCAGGCTGGCTGCTCCAGCCCTGCGGCCTTCTCAATTCCTGGCAGTAATGAGTCCAGCCAGCTGCCTGCTGGCTCCCAGGGAATCTAGCAGCATCAACTGAGGTGCAAGCCCACCTATGGGCAGAATCTTTTGCTACTGTGGTCTGTTACCAACAGTGAAGTCAGAAACCCAGGCCCCAAGAAAGACTGTAGTAAGCAGTCCAAAGACAGATGATATGGGCCCTCTTCACGGTGGGAGGGAGCGTGTGAAAACTGTAGTGATGGCTGGGTCTCAAGGTCTCTAGGATAGAAGGATACCCTACCTTCTGCCAGGTCACTATACCAAGATGGAAACAGGGACGTTGGCAACATCCAATCAAGTCTCCATGGTGTCACCACTGTGGAGGAGATGGTGGGGCCCAATGCGCCTAGCTCAAGTCTCTTCTAGAGCCACAGCACTTCTGCTGGGAAGGCCTTTGGATCCAGCATGGCAGTTTCAGGAGGATTGTGATCCTGTCCTCTCAGCTCCCTGCCCCAGACATGCCCAGTGGGTGGAAACTGCTTTCTTCTAGCAAGAGACGCCCCAGGCGGTAGAGCAGCTGAGGGTACCAGTGTATACCCTCTCCCAGGGTCCAGCTGCCCCACACCAAGCTGGGAAATAGTCGCAGGGGCCAGAAGGCCATCTGAGCCAGGTGATGGTCAGCCACGGCTGCAAAGCAGGAAGCTACCACATCCTCCACTACCAGTGTCCCATGCCTTGTGAGTGGAGCATAGGCCCCGAGGGCTATGTGCGTGGACACAGCTGCCACTCGGGCAGGCTGCAGGCCTGGAACCCCTGCCACCAGCACATACTGGCCAGGTTGCACGTGGCTTGCAAATGTGGCCCGGAAGTGGGCTGGTGGTTCTGTGTGATTGTCAGCAGTGAAGAGCAGGTGGGTGGGAGTAAGTGCCAGGCGGCGTGGGGGGTCCAGGGTCTCAATCACCTGAAAAACCCTCAGCCTGTCTGGCTCACGGTCCAGGAAAATGAGCACATCGCTGAAGGTGGGGTTCCCATCCTCCCCCATAGCCAGCACCCGATCTCCCGGCCTCACAGCTGAGAGGGCCACGCGGGCCCCACTTTCTAGGCGCACTTGGGCTCCAGCAGGGAAGCAGCCACCCGTCTTGGCTGCAGCGGAGTGCTCTGTGGGAAGAAGGGACAGGAAGGGATTACTACTGGGGAGCAAGAATTTCCAGGCACAGCACCCCGCCCCTGGCCACCCTAGCCCAGCCAGAACTCCTCTTGCTCCCTAAGACACCCCATCACCATATCCACCCCTGCTCTCCATTTCCCATGTAGGTTTAAACCCACCCACAATATGATCTTCTGCCCTCTCAACCCAACAACTTGACACTCACTGGGGCTCCAGGACCCAGTGGGTGAGAGAGAGAGGCCCTCTTGAAGCCCATGTGATGCCCCCATCTTTTCACATCTGCTTCTGCGAAGCCAGAGGACAGACCTCCATGGTGGTCAGAGGACAGCTGAGCCAGGCATTGGTCAGCTGTGGCTGGACCCTAGGAAAACTGCAGCCTCACAGAAAGGGAAATCATTTAGCTCCTCTGGGGTCTAAATGTCCTGTTATTGCTCACCCCTTGCTCAGATATTCCTTTTTAAAAAATGCACACCACACCCCCCAGACTGATACAGCAAGCTCTGTGACAGAGCTGGCCCTTAGAATCTATGGAAGGGAGAGGAAGGCCAGCTTAGTGGGCAAACACAGGCTCCTTGACAGCCTCAGAGTGAATGGTCAGGGATACCTCAAGAGCAAGGACAAAATCACCATCTTTGGTTCATGTCCTCAGTTCTGGTGTAGGGACAGAACACAAGGGCAGCAGCAGGTGGGAGAGGACAGTATTTGGGCCAGGAGTGATGAACGAAAGAGGCCACTCGGGGAGCTGGGCCAGTGTCTGCAGGTGAAGGGTAGTTATGACTCCAAAGCGCTGTTGGTGGAGGACGTGTGAAGCAGCAGGTTCAGGCTGTGGCTGGGGGTTGGTATGGGACGACCACAGTAAGCCCACCACAGTAAGCCCAGGCAAAATCAGGATAACAAAAAGGCAGGCCTGGTCTCATGTGCTGGGTCATGAGTGCAACTTTTACATGGGACCAGTGTCGAGGGCTAAGCCTGTGGCCAGGTGGGGTTGGAGGGGACCCACAAAGGAACCACGGGGAGCACCTGTGACTGGGTTCAGTGTGGGCAACAAGGACCTGGGGCAACCTTAGGAAAGGGGTGAGGCTCCCATGCTTGTCAATTCTGATCAACAAGGCGGGCAATCTGGGAAAATCCACTTTATTGAGTCCACTTTATTTTGGCTCTCAAGGCTAGCTCTGCCCCCAAATGTCCAGCTTCAGAGCTCTGGGGGAAAGGGTGGGGAGCCTGCGCCCCTTGGAAGGCCTGACCTGCAGCTGGGTAATGGTTGTGAACCTCTGGGCTCCTGGTTAGGCATAATGGTATCTGAGCACACGCAGGCCCCTGGTCCCACCAGAGCCATGTTGTGCATCAGCTGGGTGGGAACGTGGTGCCTGTCCAGCTCGGTCTGTCTTGCACGTCCTGTGGCAGGTTCTGGACTGTGGACCCCCAGGTCAATACGAAGCGGCCCTGGGCCAGACCCTGTCTCCCTAGGCTGGAATCATATCGTGACACTACCACGTGTGGGAGGCACAGGAAGTTGTGAGCAGCTGCGGGGAGCGCCGCCGACGTCGTCCTCTTCCCCGGGATCCCCGCCTCCATCCCCTAGCAGCAGCCATCTTCTCCTTCGTGGCCCAGGCGGGCACTGTACTGACTGCCCACTCCCTGCGGCCCCGGCCCCGGGCCCAGCCCCCCGGCAGCGGCTCACCGGACTTGACGGAGCAATGCACGTGAGCCTTGGACTCATAATACACCCAGTCGAAGCCGGCCTCCACTGCCAAGCGCGCCAGCAGTCCGTACTTATTGCGGTCGCGGTCTGAGGTGGTGATGTCCACGGCGCGGCCCTCATAGTGCAAGGACTCCTCCGAGTGGTGGCCGTCCTCATCCCAGCCTTCGGTCACCCGCAGCTTCACGCCGGGCCACTGATTCATGACGGAGATGGCCAGCGAGTTCAGGCGGTCCTTGCAGCGCTGAGGGAGGAACGTGCGCGGCGGCGTTAGCGGGAGGAGCCGATTCCAGCGTGGGGTCGACCGGCCGCAGACTCTCCCACCGCACCCATTCCAGTCGGAAAACCAAGGAAGGTCTTTGTCCTTTTCCCTTAGGAACAGAGGTCCTGAAAGTGTTCCCCCCGATTCTAGCATCCAGTCGCCCCAGCGAACTGGGCCGCAAGGTAGTACCAGGAACTGGAGGGGGCGCGGAGACGCACACCCTCTGGTAGGCGCAGCTCCCTTTCCCTCCTGCGTTCTACCTTCCCTGCTCAGGGTTGGTCCTTCCACAGATAGGGCTAAACTATTCCAGCTCCGGGTGCCTGTGACTGGCCAAGGCCCAAGGGCGGGCAGCGGCAGAGATGGAGGAGGGAGTTAGCGCAGCTGGCTGCCTGCGGCTGGCCTGCTAGGCATGCAAGGCTCTCGGTCCCCAGTAGGTGTCACCGCAGCCTCAGGCCTGAGGCTCGGGGACGACCGGCCCTGGAGGCGCGGCAGGTGCCGAATGCCACCGCAGCACAGGCAGAGTGTTATTGGAGGGGAATCCCAGCCTGGCCAGAGGAGTCTGTAGTTACTGCCTCAACACGTGCGGGGATCCTCAGAGCCCATGGGACCATGCAGCTGAG